CTCTGTCATCCTTATCACATGATTGGCAGCCCTCCTTATGCCCAGCCTCTGCACTTGTAAATGGGGATTCTCGCACCACTTCCTAGGGTGGTTGGAAGGAAAATCAAATAATATGAGCAAAGCACCTAGCACTGGGCCTGGCACATATACAACTCCCTAAATTGTGATTCCTAAAGAAAAACATTTAAAAACCTATTTCTTATAGATGTGGGAACGGGGCTGATGCCCTGCTGGAGTTCACCAGTTGGAATACAATCAAGCCATCAGTTTACTCGCTGACGGCACCCCTGGAGCAGCCTGTCCGTCAGATTGGTAGGAGGCGATGGGAGTGCCCCGGCAGAACAGTGTGGCCTGCCACTGAGTATATCCCCTGGCCCCTGAACGTACTGAGCAACAATGAACACTGGGTAATCGTGACTAGCTGCGATGAACTTTTACTGGCTCATCTACCGAGCTCTTACCATGTGCCAGACACTGTCTTAAGCACTTTACGTGTGTTAACTCGGCTAATCTTCACACCCACCCTGCGAACGAGTCCTACTACTGTTGCCATTCCATAGATGAGGAAACTGAGGCATAGAGAACTGAGGTTGCTTGCCCGAGACTGCACAATAGTAAGGGGTGTGGCAGGGATTCCACCCCTGTAAGCCAGAGTAAGCCTGCCCGTCCCGCCTCCCCTGCCTCCCAGCCTCCACCCTGTGCTGCCGGGAGGCTCATCTGAGGCCATGACCGTGACTCTGTTGCAGGAACAGCGCTGGAGTGCTGAGGGTCGTGGCAGTGGCCTCACAGCCTCTCCCATCCCAGCCCCCACCCGCCTGGCTCTGCCCTTGGCGTCCTGCTGTCCTGTCTACTCCATCTGCCCCAGGCAGCCCCATGGGGACTTGGAATTTGTGCCTCTCCAGGCTGAGCAGCCCAAGCCAGGGTTCTCTGGAGTCTGCGAGGGGAGCAGGTGTGCGGCCCCTGGTTTAGAGCTTGTATTCCCCATAAATCAGAGGCCTGGCTCTGGCTGAGCGCGGGCCTAATGGGCAGAAAGGTGGAAAGGGTCTCCTGATGATAAATGTCCCCGACAGGCTTTTAGCAGCTCAGTCAATAGCCCACCAGACTGGCTGATGTCTGCTAATGCCCTGCTGTCCTCAGCATAGAATCTTTGCAGATGAGAACAGTCTGCCGGCCTGGGGTGAGGGGCAGTTGTCCCTTGTCCACTGAGAAGGAAGAGAAGCTGTCTAGGACTGGGACCTCTGCTTGGACAGGGCTGAGAGGGGAGCTGGCCCCAGGCACCTTCCCTGAGTCCGTGGCTCCGCAGGGCAAGTGAGGCAGGATGCTGGGTCTGAATGGGGCTCCTGGGCTGTCTGCCTCCTGGCAGTCAGCTCCTCCTGCAGCGGAGAAACCGGGGCATGGCCCTGCGCCAGAGGGTAGAGATAAAGGCAGTCTGGGGCAAGAGACTCTCGTGCCCTTTGACCCCGGAATGAGCCCAGAGAAGGGAAAGGCTGTGTGCAGGAAGGGGCCGGGACACTGACTCACAGAGAGGGCTGGCGCTCCCTTGGAGCTGGTAAGTCACCACCGGGGTCACACTGGAGGGGCCAGAGGCCTGGGTCAGTGAGAGGGTGCTGGGGCCCATCGGTGATGCCTGCCACGGGACAGGCTAGGAGACCTCAGCTATCACGCTTCCTGGTCTCAGAGCCTTTAAGCTCTGCCGTTTTATAAGTAATTTTTGTCTGATCCTGGAAGGACCCTTCTTTTGAGAAAATCTCTGGTTTTGTTCTTAAACGCCTTTTTTTAATCGCAAAATTTACATAGCTAAAAAAAGACAAAGAAGATGACAAAAACCACCCATTCATCCCACCATCTAAATATAACCACAATTAACATTTTGATGCATTTCCTCCCAGTTTTTTCTCAGTTTTGATAGACGAGTATACGTGTGTGTACACCCCCATATGTACACATACGATAACAACAGCTACGGTTATTGGGCACTCACTGTAGCGCCTCGCTCTTGGGCTCTTCATGCATAACATCTCATTTAGCCCTCACAGCAGCCCTGCGAGGAAGAGATTATGACTTACATTTGACAGTGAAGAAAAAGAGGCTTGCAAAATTTGAGCAGGTGCACAGCATGCTCAGATTTTAATTTTCAAAAGCTCCTGGTGAGAAGAATGGATAGAACGTCCTCGAGGCCAGGCAAGGTCAGTGGCTGGAGCGATGGTCCCATGGGGACCGGAGCCACGGCCCAGTGTCCTCCCTCCCAGGCCCTGGCTCCAGGTGCTGCCCTGCTGGGACAGGGGACAGGGAGATGCACCTCTCCTCCCTCCCAGGGCCCCATTTCTTTCAGCTGTGGTGGAGGCCGACCATTTGAAAACCATGGAACTATCACCTACCTCCTCTCATTTCGTTAACAAATGTTGCCAGTCCACATTCTTTCCTTTTTTGTTGTTCTCTCTCTCTCTCTGAATGTGTAGGTGTGTGTATAATTTTTCCTGAACCATTTGAGGGTAAGTTACATACAGCTTCGCCCATTATCCCTAAATACTTCAATGTTTCCTAAAAATACGAACATTCTCTTACGTAACCACAGTATATTATCAACTTCAGTAAGTTTAACATTGCAACAGTGCTTTCCTCTAATCTACCGCTGTTCGAATTTGTTAAATAACATCCTTAATAGCATTCTCCCCTGCAGTGTGGGACCCGGTCCAGGGCGAGGCGTCTAATGTGTCTAACAGCTTTTTCCTGAGGGGAGAGAGCAGGAGTGAGCAGACTATTTCCAGAGGGGAGCCCAGGACCCCCTCCTGTTTTTAGAGCTACTAAAATGCAGGCTCAGGGTGTCCGCATTTCCTGGTTTGCCAGAGGTGACCGGGAAGCCCTGTGTCCATTCTCGTGGCAGCTGCCTGCTTCGCAGCCTTATGAAGCAAGCTTAGGGACCACCACTGCGCCTTTGCTCAGTTTCGATTACGGACGGTCTCAGGGGTGTCACACCAGAGCGCAGTGGCCTCTGCAGAGTTGGCGAGGTGAGGGAAGGAGAGGAGGCTGGGTGTTCCCTGAGTCTACCCTGTTCTTGAAAGTTCCTTTGTAAAAAATCCTGAGACTATTGATTCTGCGAAGTCCAGGACTGTGCTGTGTGTTGACCTTGCATCCAGCCCCTCGAACAGTGCCTGTTCCCTGGGTACCCATGAATATTTGGTGAATGGATGCATGATGGCCACTTTTCTTCTCAGCTGTCTCTTCCACTTAGATGTAAAAACAGTGAGGGGAGCATTCTGGTGGGTGGGCTCAAGAACTTGAGACCAGATGATGGCTGTGGGTGATGGCTACATTGGCAGGCAGAGGGCCTGGCGACCAGGCCCTGATCGGCTAGCGCGGTGTAGTGTGATGTGCAAAATGAATAGGTTGGTCACCACCAGTCCAAATTTCTGTAACTGAACTTGGAAATCCAAATCTGTCGGTGGAGTTAGAAATAGCTTCAGGGCTGCATGGCATAGGCTGCAGGGCCGGTATTTCCCTCCCAGCACCTATACAGGATTCTCAGTAGGAAGCAAGGAAAGTGAGAGAAATGCCCTATATTTTTAATTGGGATGTAATACACACACCATAAAATTCACCATGTTTGGTGCGGATCTTAGTATATTCCCAGGGTTATGAAACTGTCACCACTACTCGATTTCAAAATAATTTTATCCCTCCAAAAAGAAACCCCACACCCATTAGCAGGTGCTCCTGATTGCCCCCTCCTCAGCCCTGGGCATCCCTCATCTGCTTTCTGTCTCCAGGAATTTACCTGTTCTGGATTTTTCATATGCATTAGTTAGGTTCTACCTACCAGGTACCAGGGGATGTGTTAATTTGCTCAAGCAATGAAACCACATCTGGTACTTCAAGTGCAATCATACAATATGTGGCCTTTTGCGTCTGCCTTCTTTCATTTAGCATAATGTTTTTGAGGTTCATCCATACTGTAGCATGTGTTAGTACTTCATTCCTTTTTTTGGCTGAATGATAATTGTATGACTATACATTTTTTATTTCCATTTATCACCTGATGGGCATTTGGGTCGTTTCCACTTTTTGGCATTATGAATAATACTGTTGTGAACATTGATGAACAAGCTTTTTGTAGACCTATGTTTTCATTTTTCTTTTCTTTTTTTTTTTTGAGACAGGGTCTCACTCTGTTGCCCGGGGTAGAGTGCCGTGGTGTCATCATAGCTCACTGCAACCTCAAACGCCTGGGCTCAAGTGACCCTCCTGCCTCAGCCTCCTGAGTAGCTGGGATTATAGTCATGCATCACTGTGCCCAGCGAATTTTTCTTTTTTTTTTTTTTTGTCAAGATGGGGTCTTGCTCTTGCTCAGGCTGGTCTCAAACTCCTGGGCTCAAGCAAGTCTCCTGCCTCAGCCTCCCGGTGTGCTAGGATTACAGGTGTGAGCCAGCTCACCCGGCCTGTTTTCATTTTTTTTAGGGATAAACCTAGGATTGAAATTACTGGATCATATGGTAACTCTGTGTTTAACCTTTTGAGAAACTGCCGGACTGTTTTTCAAAGAAGTTGCGCCATTTTGCACTCCCACCAGCAGTGTATAAAGGGAAATGCACACCCCCCACCGCCTTTTTTTTTTTTTTGAGACAAAAGTCTTGCTCTGTCTCAAAGGTTTACAGGCATGAGCCACCACGCCCGGCCGGAAATGCCCTTTGACTGAACATCTACCGTGTACGAGGCGCTGTGCCTGACCTTGTCCACACCTCAGTCTCCGGTGATCCTCATACCAACCTGTAAAATACCTACGATTGCCTCCACTTTAGCAAGCAAGACCCTGGGGCTCAGAGAAGTGAAGTAACTCCCCCAGGATCACACAGGGAATGAATGTTCAGGCCTAGATTCACCAGGCCAGTTCTGTCCCCTCACATTTTCCTGTTTGCTCACTGATTGCTAACTGACTGACTGACTGTCCAGATGCTAAAGTCGAATGAGCCTTCTCCCCGACCCTCCCGGGCACTGTTTTACAGACTGGAAAGTTGGACCCCCACTACCCAAAGGTCTGCGGGCACAGAGGGAACGTCTTAGACGTCAAGTGGAACCCTTTTGATGATTTTGAGATTGCCTCCTGTTCTGAAGATGCCACGGTGAGTGTCAGCCCGAGAGGTGCTTCCCTTTCCTGAACAGAGGGACTGGAGCAGGGCAGGGTGGACGGGTACCTGTACCCAGCTCTGGTGTCCCGACTCTTTCATTGCAGAGGTCACTGTGTGGGGAGGCGTTAAGTTAGCTTGAGGAAGGCAGGTTACATTAGTTAGTTCTGGGTACTGTGGGACTTAGGGAACCACCTCTCCTCTCTGTGGGCCTCAGTTTCCCCACCTATAAAATGGGCATAATAGCTCTCACCTGTGTAATTAAGAGCCAGTGAAATTCACTGTCCAGTGGGAAAACCCATCCTTTGGGGGAACCATAAAATGCTATAAGGGGGGCATTTTTATTGTGGTCAGAAAACTTCGTTCCACTTAATCTCACAGACAGTGAGGAAATGAGCTTTAAAAGAATGACAGTGAGAGGTGTATATGAATAAGGACACTAGAACCATCTCAAAAGCTTCAGTCCCACTAAATTTTTTGAGCTTATGTCCTGTACAGGGTCATAGACCCTGTCCCCACAATGTTTAGTGTTAAATCATTTTGTACTGACTTCTAAAACATGCTGGATATGGCTTAAAACAAAAAAACACAGATGACTAAAATAAGAATAAACGTCATAATTACCATTTCTTGTGAGCGCACTGTGTCCCTGAATGTCATTACACTTATCATTTCACTCAGTTTTCCCAGCAAGCCCACAGGAGAAGCCAAGGATCAGAGAGGTGCAACAATTTGCCCAAGGTTACACAGTTATGGGAGACAGAACCAGGCTTCAGACTGTCTGATTCCAGAACCCATTCTCTTTCCACTGAGCTGTGCCGCTTCCGTAAGCAGCAGCAGCCACAGATGGAAGAAGTGAGGAAATACTAGAAACGTCAGCTGTGGAGGGTTGCAGCAGCTGCGTGACTAGTTTAGCTCAGAGCTGCCTGGTGGCCAAGGCAAAAAAGGGAAATGTAATGTATTGCAGAACCCTCACTGTTGGATCAACTGACCAGTTCATCAGGAAAGGAAAGCAGAAGATTCTAAGAGCACTTGGGGCGGTTTCCATATGCTGAGGAAATAAAGGACAGTGTCTGCCAAGGTGATTTCACCGAAGGGGCAGTCAAGCCCGGTGAAAATTGGCCCTGTCTCCAGTGAGTGTAGGGCCTTTGGCAGGATATTACATATCTGACACTGTCCCCACTTTTGTAATACCTGCCCTTTCAGGCCTGCTTTGAAAGCTCCCTTCAAGGTCTTTATTAAAGACTGGAGTCCCTTCCCAGATGCCACAGGGAAAGGGGGAGTGGACACAACTGTGATTGCTGGGAGTGGCAGCGCCTTTTCTCCCTGCAGCCCGCCGCACCCAAAATCAATTCATGGAGTAAATTCGTTCCTGTGAAGTGCTCAGCCCTGCCTCCCTGCTCCCAGGACCTGCAGGGCAGGGTTGACTCTCTAGCCCTGGGGCGTGGACAGTCTTCCCTGCTTCCGTGTTGGGACGGTACCTAACCGCCCACACATACCTGCCTGGAGTGTGTTCTCCACCCAGGGCCCAGTTCTGTGCAGTGACAGCCCTCACACACTGATCTGTCTGGGGCCTGGCACTACGCTCGTGGGGTTGGTTTCTTGGTTTTAAATTCAAGAAGACCAAGAAATAAATATTTGCTGAATTGAAAGCAAAGTCATCTACCTGAAAAACCTGTATACCTCTAAGAGAAACAGTACATATGACCACTGTAGGAGCCAGAGAACCCTGCAGGACAATAAGGAACATCAAGTTGGCACCATCCTGGGCTCTGTCACCCTCTGTAACATCATCCTTTACCTCCATTTGTATACCTCCGTGACAGGGAGCTTACTCTCTACCGTGGCAGTGGTTCCATCCTCAGACAAAGTACCTGGGAAGGAAGCCCCAGCCCTTCCTCTCAGGCCTCCACCGTGAAAAACAGGACTATGCCCCCGTCCCGCCCGGCCTCCTGGACTTTAGTCTTTCCTCTTCCAGGCCATCCAGGTGCCCCTCCAAAGCAGGAAGCTTGGCCCTGCCCTGCCCTGCTCTAGAGACGGTGCTGCTCCCTAGTGCCCTGAGGATGCAATACAAACCCTTCATCCTGGCCTTTGAGGCTCCACGCTGGGCCTTTGAGACAAGGAGGGGTAGACCCCCCTACTGTGGGGGATATTTTAGGCTGGAAGACAGGCCTGCAGCCCACCCACCTGCCCACCACCTTAGGCTCTCAGCATGGCAGAGATTCCCCAAGGGCAGATTGGAAGGCTTAGGCTCATCTCTGGTCAGCACCAGCCCCTGCTCAGGCAGGAGGACTTTGGCAAAGGCCCTGTCCCTCTGAGAGCCCCTAGCTGCCCCTCCACTGAGTGAGAGGTGGCCAGGGAGAGAGCTCCCCTGGTCCTTCTGTAGGTCACTGCCATATCTGTGGCTTAGGGTGGAGAAGGTGCCAGGATGCCCCTGCCTAACAGTCCCCCGGGCTGTGTCCCCCTGCCAGGTTAAGATCTGGAGCATTCCCAAGCAGCTGCTGGCAAAGAACCTCACAGCCTGCAGGAAGGAGCTGGTGGCCCACGCGCGCAGGGTGGGCCTGGTGGAGTGGCACCCCACGGCCGCCAACATCCTCTTCAGCTGCGGCTACGACTACAAGGTGAGTCTGCGTGTTCGCTTTCTGGGGCTGCCCTAACAAATGACCGCAGACTGGGGAGCTGAAGACGACAGAAATTTATTCTCTCGCAATTCTGGAAGCCAGAAATCTAAAATCAAGGTGTTGGCAGAGCCAACTCCCTCCAAAGTCTCTAGGGCACAATCCTGCCACGGCTCTTCCAGCTCCTGGTGGCTCCAGGCATCCTGGCTTAGAGCTGTGTCACTCCAGTCTCTGCTGTCTTCACACGGCCTTCTCCCTGTGTGTCTGTATGTCCTCTCCTCTCCCAGTGAGGATGCCTGTCATCGGATGTAAGGCTCACCCTAGTCCCTGACCTCATTTTAACCAATTTCATCTGCGAAGACCCTATTTCCAAATATGGTCACAGGTGGATGTGAGTTTGGGGGGACACAAGTCAGCTGCCTACAGAGCAGGCAGGCTGTGGACCCTGTGGATTGGAACTCACGGTACAGGAGCTCAGATTCTAGTCCGACTCAGTCTCTGACCTGCAGTATGACCTGGGACAATCCCTTGTCTTCTCTGGGCCTCAATTTCCCAATCTGTACACAAATAGGATTGGTGGGACCATCGCTATGGCTTTTCAGCTCTTGATAACTCTACAGGGGTTTACAGAGGCACCTCAGGGCCCTCTGTGATGGATAAAAGGGCCTTCCAACCCTTTCTGATTAGAAGTGCTTTTTGTGTGTTTATGGAGAGTGTTTCTGCAGGGCCACTGTATGTGTTTGTGCCAGTTGTTCTATACCTAACTCCAGGGGGCGCAATTGACATTGTAGACTCTGGGAATGGATTACCTTGGAGCTGTGCAGTGCGCAGCCTGTGCAGCTGAACATGGCAGTCCTGTTTATCTGTGTGAAGTGGAAACTGCTACTGATAATTGTTTGAAATCCCCTGGATTAGCTGGTTCCCTAGGGTCCTCGCAGCATGGATGTTTTGTTGCTCAAAGGCAGGTGGTGTTTTCCTTTCACTGCTAGACATCCTGACTCTGGGCTTTCCCCTCCTGCCACCTGCAGCTTCAGCTGGCAGATCCATCCTCCCACCTGAGGCTTCTTGGCCAGGCTGCCAGCTGCGCTTCCCTCCCAGGGATACCATGTTTCACAGAGGCCCAGCCAGTGTGCGACTGCGGGGACCAGGGGCGGGGGGTGGCCACTGTGCTCAGAGCTGGCTCCCTGCCATGCAGGTGATGATCTGGAACCTGGACACAAAGGAGTCTGTCATTGTAAGCCCCGTGAGGACAATTACCTGTCACCAAGACGTGATCCTCTCCATGTCCTTCAACACCAACGGCAGCCTGCTGGCCACCACTTGTAAAGACCGCAAGATTCGAATTCTCGACCCCCGAGCAGGGACCGTCCTCCAGGTCAGCGCTGGCTTGGGAGCAGTGGAGCAGGAGGCAGTAGGGCTGGGGCAGCTTCTGAGAACAGCACAGTCACGCTGTCCGCATCTGGGCCAGGCCCTCACGGGTAGTATCCCCACCTGTCCTCGTGGCGCTGCTGGGAGGTGGGATGTGTCATCTCCATTTTTCAGATGAGAAAACTGACGCCAAAGAGAGATGAAGTGACTTGAGAGCTGGGACCCGTCAGTGTGCCTCAGCTCTGTCGCTGAGGAGAACTGAGGAGGGTGCCACCGTTTATCCACTGTGTAGCCTTAGGCGAGAACTTTCTGCTCAGAACCTCTGTTTTTTCATGTGCAACAATGGGCCACTAGTTCTTCCCCACCGAGGATTAAGTAAGACAACCCAGGTGACAGTGTCTGCCCAGCCCATGCCTCACCTATGATGGGTGCACAATATTCTCCCAGCAAGAGCACGTAGCGGGGCAGAGGTTTACCTCTGTTCCTGCTCAGAAAAATAACTCAACAAAAATGGTGGGGAGAGATTCCATGTGGATGGGAGGGACCCAAGAGGGCCTCTGGGAAGTGATGTCTCTGGGAGGGTTTTGCAGGCAGAGTTGGGGACAGAAAGGGAGGCTGCCAGGTGGAGCAGCAGCATGAGCAAGGCAGGGAGGCCGGAAACCCATCTGCCACCTGGGAGTCCCGTCTCTCCGACACCTACTGCACACGTCCCTCCAGGAGGCCAGCTACAAGGGGCACCGGGCCAGCAAAGTGCTGTTTCTGGGGAACCTGAAGAAGCTCCTGTCCACAGGCACATCCCGATGGAACAACCGGCAGATAGCCCTGTGGGACCAGGTGGGTCTCACACGCACCTACCCCACCCCGCAGCTGAGAGCCAGCGTCATTCATTCATGCGTGCGTTCGCTCACCCACCCATTCCTTTCTCACGCGTTTAGCATAGTCTGCCAGGTGCTGGGGATGGGAGGCCAGCCACCCATCCGGCGAGCCCAGACCTTGTGCGTCTTGCCATGCCACGAGGGAGACGGGTCAGGGCCTGGGTGGGGCCTCGGGCTAGGGGAGGGGAGGGGCCTGAATCTGGGACCAGGCCTAGAGGAAGGGAGAAGGAAATGGCCTTCTGGGTGGGGGGGACAGCGGAGCAGAGGCTTGGGATGAGTTACTAACAGGTACGGTAGGGGGAGCTTGCTGTGGGCAGCTGAGGGCGGGGAGCAGGCCACACAGTATGGTTTGGAAGGAGCACTTCGCAGAAGTTTCGAACACCGGACAAATCACTTCCCGTCTCTGGATCTCCCTCTTCATCTATTAAATTTAATGTTAAAAAACAGATGGTGGGCCGGGCGCGGTGGCTCACGCCTGTAATCCTAGCACTCTGGGAGGCCGAGGCGGGTGGATCGCTCAAGGTCAGGAGTTCGAGACCAGCCTGAGCAAGAGTGAGACCCTGTCTCTACTAAAAATAGAAAGAAATTATCTGGTCAACTAAAAACATATATATATATAAAAAATTGGCCGGGCATGGTGGCGTGTGCCTGTAGTCCCAGCTACTCGGGAGGCTGAGGCAGGAGGATCGCTTGAGCCCAGGAGTGTGAGGTTGCTGTGAGCTAGGCTGACGCCACGGCACTCTAGCCCGGGCAACAGAGCGAGACTCTGTCTCAAAAAAAAAAAAAAAAAAAAAAAGGATGGTGGAGGAGTGGAGTAGGATCAGGTGTGTCAAAAGTGATTGTTAGGGGCAGAAAGCTGACAAAACAAGTGTGGGGGGGGCGGCATTTTAGTGCCTTTAAAATGTGATCTCCACCAGAGAGTAGCCCACACATTGGACCTCAAGAACCAGGGACATCTTCCCCCAACACATCTAGATAAGATCAGACTTTCTCTCTTTCACATGCACACATACACATGCCCAGAGCATCCAGGCAGGAATTCTTATCTCAGAGAGCACCAGTGAGGGCCCCAGGAGTGACCCCCAGGCCTTCCTGGTCTCCCTTTCCCTTGCAGGACGACCTCTCTGTGCCTCTCACAGAGGAGGACCTGGACGGCTCCTCAGGTGTGCTGTTTCCCTTCTACGACGCAGACACCAACATGCTCTACGTGGTGGGGAAGGTCAGCACGGCACAGGAGGGACGTTGCCACCAGGACCTGAGACAGGAGGCAGAAATATCCCTAGCCTAGCCCCACTGGTGGCCCAGAGAGCAGGCTGGGGCCATTGGGAGTGCAGGGCAGAGACAGGCAAGAGTCGCTGGCCACTCTTCCCCTGTGGGAGAGCACCCCTCTCCCACCTCCCGGCTCCCAAGCAGCACCTGGGGCCAGGGCTTTGGCTGGACACCCTGAATTCCCTCCCCAGCTCTGGGTCCAGATGAGCAGGAACCACTAGTGTTTCTCAGCAGGGGCATTTGTTGAACTTGGGGCAGAACAGGTCTATGCCATATTTGGCATCCCTGGCCCCTCCCCACAGATGCCAGAACAGCATCTCTCCCTGGTCCACCCAAGTTGTTATGACAACCAGGAATGTCCCCCAGGGGTACAACCCACTGGGTGGACTCCAAGGACACACCAGTTCTGACCTTTGTATGCAGCTCTTGATGGGAACGACACTGGGGCCTCTCTTCCCAGAGCTTCTGCCTTGTAGGAACAAGGGTGGGCTTTGGGTCAGGGTTGTGCGGACTGAGCATTCAAATGAGGACCCCTTTTTCCTGCCTTGCCAAGTCCCCTGGTGTTTCCTTGTGTGAGACGGGGTTGCCAGCCGTTCATGCTGTGGCGGCCAGGCTCTGCTACAGGGCAGGCTCTGCTACAGAGGCCCTCTGGGTCGCTCTCACTCTGAATCTCCGAATCTCACCTCCTCAGGGAGATGGCAACATCCGCTACTATGAGGTGAGCGCCGACAAGCCTTACCTGAGCTACCTGACTGAGTACCGCTCCTATAACCCACAGAAGGGGATCGGTGAGTGAGGGACACCTAGGCGACTTGGGGTCAGGGCTTCAGCGCTGGGGAGACAGGGATGAGTCGGCAGGAGGGGAGATGGCATGACAGCACTCTGACTTGATGGGGGCTACCTGAGGAATGCAGCCACACAAAGGAGGAAGTCCCAGGAGGGCTTCCCAGAGGAGGCAACGTTTGGGGAGCTGAAAGAGTAAGCAGAGCACAGCACAGGGAGAGGAGGAAGTGCTCTAGGTCAAGGTTACCATAGCAGGGAGGTGGAAGGAGTTGACCTCCAGGAAGCAATCCCACCTCCTTTTGGGGATTAAAAACCCAACTATGTGTTATCTATAGGAAACCCACTTTAAACATAAAGACACAGCTAGATTAAAAGTAAAGGGCTGGCCGGGCGTGGTGGCTCACGCCTGTAATCCTAGCACTCTGGGAGGCTGAGGCGGGCGGATTATTTGAGCTCAGGAGTTGGAAACCAGCCTGAGCAAGAGCGAGACCCCATGTCTACTAAAAATAGAAAGAAATTAATCGGACAACTAAAAATATATAGAAAAAATTAGCCGGGCATGGTGGTGCATGCCTGTAGTCCCAGCTAC